TATCTGGGCATTATCATCTTTTCCACAATGCCTAGTGTCTTTTTAAATGAACACGTAAAGTCTGTACTGTGAACTATGCGCCGTTTCTGAAAATCATCGTAGACATAGTGACGGCACAGGCCAGGCATCGCGAAAGTGCCTAGACTACAGGAAACAATTCGACGTCTTGGATCTAAAGAACTTATTGTCTAAAAAGCTGGTTTATCTACTACGCAGTAGAAAAGAAATATCGCTTTAGCCTCTACAACAATGCAAAGATAACACTACTGAACCAAAAAAATTAGCGGTTTGGTAGACGGAGTTTCGTCCAGAAGCACTGCGGCGACTTAAATACATGACACCATAAACAAAGTATGAAGTCCGCTGACGAGTGATTGCTGTTGGCAGAGATCGATAGAACTAGTTGAGAGACAGGCGAAACGAAGGACCCGCATGGTGTGGTGGTGAGCGCGTTACTCCCCGGAAAGGATAATAGCGCGTTCGCTCCCCACCGCAGACACCTGCGGTCCGGAGTTTTGCAAATATCTCAGCATCATTGAAGTTATATTTCGCAATATACCATGCCATTAAAAAAAGTAGACAGTAAATAAAACGATTAAGAAAAGTATGAAGCACGATATATGGCAGTACATTCGATGCATATTCTTTCCTAACGTTCATCTTACCGCAAAGCTGCATCTATTTGCTCTACATTTTGAATTGAATTGATAGCATGTCCTAAAAAGATGCTGTACCCTACGAAGTCCGTCAAAAGGTATTTTATGCGCTTGACAAAAGATTTTTTTGGATGAGGTTTTCGCTGCACATTGCGCTCGGTGAGAAAGCAAGGCTCTACTCCAAAGCGGCCCTCATAATGAAATTAGCCGTAGTCGGTATGTGTTGAGGGTAATTGTCAGTTCTATGCCTTGGTTATTGGTCAGTTGATGTTGAAAATTATGTCCAGATGTGGTGGCGAATAGCTTGTGTCTTTACAAAGTCATTGACACTGTAAAGGCCGCCACATTTAGGTGCAACATTAACTGATTAGTAAATAAATTAGTTAACAAATGCAAGTCGGACAGGAACAAAGTAAGGTAAAGAGATGTGGAGTTCAAATTTAAAAATTCCTTTATTTTTTTTTGATGACACGACATCGTACACTTTGTGTTGCCCACCATTTAATGCTTTCGATTCGTTTCCTTGCATCCATCCTTCACTAAGGTTTTCGAACACTTCGCTCATGGGTTTGGCCGCTGCTTGAAGAATGCTGTCTTCTTCACGAATGTCCTTGAATGACGATCAAGTCGATTTTTCTGGAATCCTGAGATACCCGCGCTAGGGCAGTCGATTTGTCTGACAACTGTGGTAAAAATTTCGTGACCTTGGAGAGATGGGGTGTCTGGTGGGTCCCAGTCAGGAGTCGGATCTGCACCGTCCACCTAATGAACGGCAGCGCTTCCACTGCGCTACGCAATCCATCCTCTTAAATAAAATATTTTGGTGGTTAATTCAGATAAAGAAAATTAGCTTTTAAATGCATTTACGATTTAGATAGATTCTTACCACTTCGTTATACCTTTTTATTTTCTGCCTACTATAATTTCGCGGCAGGGTACTAAGCGAAATACAACCACAACGTTGCTGAAATATTTGCAAAACTCTGGACTGCAGGTGTCTATGGTGGGGAACGAACGAGCTATTGTCCTTCCGGGGAGTAACGCGTTCACCACCACACCATGCGGGTCCTTTGCTTCGCCTGTCTCTCAGCTATTTCGCCTACGAACGTCTGGCAATTCTCATTTCAGTAGAGGACAAATGACTAAAGTTTTCGGGATGCGTTTATCCAACCATTCACGCTACCTCGGACTCCAACGAGAGGATTGACCCAAAGCAGTCTTCTTAAAATTTCATATTGAGACCGAAATATTTAAATTACTAAAAGAGGGAAAGCACTCTAAACCTATCACGATAGCAGGACTAGTCGTAATAAATGACAGATTCAGAGGCCGTGGACTATCTTCTTCGTGCAAATTTTTCCTCATTGAAGAAATATGAATAATTTAAGATACATTATTAAAAAGCTTTAGGAAACGAGGACTTTTTATCTCCTTGGCCAATTTTGGGATTGAGATCGCTGTCTTGATAATCGAAGAACTGAACTGAGAGAAGACAAAATTCTGTGGAAAAGCATTAAAACATAGTACACTATTTCCTTTAATGAGCAATCATGTGATTGTTACTACAGCGCTTATTAGTGCGCAATAGCTGCCGTTTCGATGATTTTGCCTTATTCAAAGCGTGGAAAGGCCAGTGATCTACTCAGTCAGTGATCTACTACTCAGTTTCTGCTCCGATTTCAGGAAATCCTCCTTCCTTTCTCATTCTGCGCTCATATTGGTAGCCGTCCGAAATCTGTTTCTTACACGCGCCTTTTTGATGTGTGAGTGATGAGAGAAGAGGTAATGAAGCCACTTCGTAACGTTTTCAGATATTTCAATTTGAGCGTTCTAAAGTGCAACCCAGTTGGCATTTACCTATCTTTTCTTGTGTGGGGCAAATGACAAAATAGTCGTCCATATATTTACAGTAGAGCAATGTCCGGAGATTGATTACTGGTCCTTCTACCCAAGACACAAATACGTTGGCATGTATTGGTGCCAGTCGCTGTGCAATTGTCAGCCTTCTATTTAGTAGGTTTTCGGGCCATCTGTTGGCAGAACAGTTTGGGCACACCTTTAGTAGAACCATGAGCTGCTGAATTAAGGAGCCATACATGTTTAATAGTCCTTCGTGCTGCTTAATAAGCTCGCGGATGGCTCGCATTGCGGAGTCATTTGACAACTTAGTGTAAAGGGCGGTAATGTCGAAGGACTCCATAAAGCACACGCTTTTGTGAAGAGCGTTACGCAGACGATCTTGGAACATTTGGGTATTTGTGAAATAGGCCTATGTCTGCATATTCTCTGACTAACGTTCCAAAACATTCATCGTCGATGGCACAAAACATCTTTAAACCCTTCTTCTTTAGCGCTTTTGTATGATTTCGTCTCGCTTTTGTTTTTAACAAAGCAGTTAAAATTAAATTTAGTCAACATTGTGTTATCCTAAACATAAAGAGTCAACGAACAAAAGGAAGTCGAATAGGTGGGGCGACAGGCATAGCAGCCACAATGTCATTCCTTTCTCGGACAGCGTTGACATAACATCTCTGTCGCCTGCATACACAAGAACATCCATAAGTTGTTTCGTTTTACTATTAGGCCATGATGTCCCAAGCCTCAAAACTTGATGAGCAATGGGTTGTTGAGAGAATTTGATGAGGATTTATTCAAATGGTATGGATACTAAGAGTAAAGTTACTAAGGTAAAAAAAATGTTTAAAAAACTTTGTTGTAACACAACCTCCTTCCAATTAAAACCGAACTGCGGCCTACAGTAGGTAGCTCATTTGCAAACAGTATTGCCTGATACGAAAAAGAGACGAGTTTTCATCCGAAAACTTAGCTAAAAACAAAGTGCTGTGCCTGTGTTCGTCGCCATGCAAAAAGAAAACTCGACGCAGCGAGCCTACATTCGACCGATCCTATCATCACTGCGGTTTCTGATGACGGGGTCATGACACCCTTTAGGGTTATCGTGAAATTTCAGAGAAAAGAACTTTTCTATCAATAAGATTCGATCAAATGAAGATTATGCAAAGGTCGAAATCCCCACACCCTTTGAGAATTTCCTCATTTCTGTGTTTATCCTACGAATGTAATTTATTTAAATTATCATTCATGAGTCAGCGTTTCAGTTGTTCATTTTTAAGCAGTCATTTACATTTAGATTCACTTTCGACGCAGTTCATTTTTCATTAGTATACAAGGACTGAGTTTTGTGATTGAAACGAAGCCTTCCAACCATGTCAAGTAATGTTCACGCACTGGTTTTTATCTTATTCTACATCCTGATATGTGGTAAGTTTTTTGGTTGAGTCACTAGAAAATCTAAAGTCCTTCGAGTTATATCTTAGAAAACTGTTACGATTTGGCTCGAAAACCATTTTTTAGGAAACCTTGAAGTGCTCTTACGGCGAAAGGTTTTGCACGGAAATGTGTCATTCATACGAGTGCGTCATCACCATATTCACCTACATAAGATCATTAATCTAAGTTAACAAAGTTGTTTTCAAAGAATTCTTAGTTAGTAACTATAAGCTTTCGTGGCTCAATTAGCTAAAGTGCTTTTCAGCTTGGACTTTGCTTGCACTTTTTCACATTTACATATATAATATGTTACATGAGATCACTTGTGGTCAGTTCGTCATCGAGCAAGCCGATGGAGCGCCAGTTAACTCCATTCTTCACCATTGGCGAAAAGAAATGCAATTTAGGAGCTGTTGAGAGAAGGAATTTCCCTGTTTTCTGTCTCAGCTCGACCCACAAGAACAGCTGTCAAATACAATGAGAAATTTCAATTTCTGGATGCCTACACTTTTACGGCTACCACCATCAGATTTCCTATGCTTGAAACTGATTGATATCGCAGCGTAGAAGCTCCTTTGGAAAAGTCAATCCAGCCAGTGAGAAATCGCATAACACGCACATGCCTTGTAGAATTAGAGGCAAACCATTGGAAAACCTCATCAACGCACTGACCCTCTCTCTTCCAATCTACCTGCTGGCGTCTAGACAACTGATTGACAGCAGAACGGTATTTTTGAACAAGAAGGAATTTGTCCCCAATTCTACTAAACGTTTTCGTCTACAAGTCGCTCTTCTTGTCCATCCAAAAAATCATATTGGATCAAAAGGAATCATATTGACGCAGTAATCGAAATCACTCAATTATTCCAAAGATAAAGACATCCCGCCACACTAGTAATCTTAGAGCAACAATTATATCATCACAGCATTTTGTAATATCGCAGCGTGAATCAAATAGTTCTATTCATCTTCCACTTAAAGCCGGCTAGATGTAAGGATACGTAGCACATTTCCGGTAGAAAAACAAGAAATATACGGGTGTGCCGCACCAATATGTGTCGTATACGCCTAAGTTGGCATGTTTGAATGCAGTGACCCATCCAATTGACCAGAGTCCTCTGACTAAGTGTTTAGAAAGGGAACGGAATAACAATGTTTAACTTATTATTTACTGCCTATCATTTTTCATAGAAGGACTTAATGTGAAATACAAGCAAAACAATAATGAGATAGGAAGGAAGGCACAACAGGAACATACACGAAGGCGAAGCTGCCACGTCGAGACGAATAACACGCGAGGACCATCGACTCGGATTATCGGCTCTGAGGAAGACGAAGACGTCGAAACGTTAGCCGAAAATAAACATCATTATCAAACTCGTGTAAGTTCATCAAAGAAAGGAAAACCAAAAGTGTTATACATTACTAAGCGATATATAAAAATAGTATAGATTCGAATAAGCAAAGCGCAATAAGGGTTCGATCAAACATTCCTGATTACTTGACGGGTTACAGCTCTTCCATAATAATAGTTGTTACAGGTACAGAAGTACACCAACGAAACACTGCCGTCGCTGCGCAATAAAAGTGAATATTCACTTGGCTTGGATATTCTTATGGTAGCAGACTATTCAACTTTCCAAGGTTAGCTAATCCGGGGTGATCTGGAACCATGCAAATTATTTGCTTAGTTTTAAGTAATAGTTTAGGATTCATAGACATATCTAATGGTGACGTAAATGTTGCTGAGGTGTACACTCACAACTACTTACGAGCCCTATTCGAGCAGGTAAACAATTTGAGCAATTTAAGACAAAAAAATTTGAGATCTAAAGCAATTTAATAAAACCTATGTAGGCACAGATTAGAAATAGAATGCATCTTTCCCCCAGTAGCCGATACATTTCGATTTCAAAAGCTTTATATGGTAGAAATTACAATATTTAGCTTTTATTTTGCTTCCTGTTACTTTCTTTCATGGCAGGGTATTATGTGAAATGCAACCTTTCAGAGGTTCATGTGCTATCCACCACATCAACCGAAGTCCTTACTTTGCCTTTTTCTTAGGCAGTTTTTACCATAACAGCTATATCAGCAGCCACCCGTCAACGGAAATAATCAGGAGCGGAAAAATCGGCATTGAACTCAGTTAAAGTGAAGGCGCAGTCGAATGCTTCCCTGGTTATTCCTGTTGACGGGTGATTACTGACAGCGCTAGGCTAAAAAACTAAACTGAAAAAGAAGAGAAAGGTAAGGCAAGAGCCTTTCTTGATATGGTGGGAAGATTGCGAGCACCTGGAAAGGGTAATCACGGGTTCGAGGTCGAACTGAGGCTCCGAACTTTGCTTATATCTTAGCACGCATAAGGTTTTTATAGCAGAGTTAAATATCATATGGACAAGGTGCAAATACAATATCATGGAATTGTAACCAAGAAATGCTTATTTAAGGTAAAGAATATATACAACCATATGAAGATCGCAGAGCAAACAATTCGTCTCAATCTGGTCGACATTTTCATCGCACTCAGGTGGAATCTTTTACTTTAACAATTACAATTTAAACATCTAAAATGAATTGAAAAACTGGCTTATGCTAACACACTGGTGCTGAGATGTGTCACATACGGTGCATTTTCTCTTCGACCGTTTATTTCGCTGCACAGAACGTGGTGGCAACACCTTTGTAATCACTGGATAGTTAACCCAAAACAGATTTCGTTCACTGCATCGACGGCGATGGTTGTAGTGTTTACTTAAAAAATTCCCTAAAGGATTTACCTTGAACAATCATCGGTGATTTGACTGGTAAGTGACCATTACTCTAACTCCAATCGATCCGATGGAGCACGACTATCGTGCGAATGGCGGGCTATAAAGTTTTTCTATAATTCTCTCTTGCTGCCAGTCTCTCCAAGTCCTCTTGTCGCTGAAACAATAAGGTCCATTGTTGAAAAAGTAATGTCATGAAGTCAGTTGTCATCGCGCTAATCCCATCCTTGCTGGAATACCATAATATGTGAAATTTTTTCTATTTTCTCTACTATTCGCCCTTATATCCACTATGCGGATCCAGGCACTTCTCAAATTCGGTTCGTTCTCTCGCATCCACCGTCCACTAAGGTCCCCCAACTTGCACGTGTGGCTTCGGATGCTGCTTGAGAATTTTCATTTCACCTCAAACGTCATAGAACGCTGGTCGAGCGGATTCTCACTGTAGTCCTAAGATCGCCGGGCTGGAACATTCCCAGTTGGATTGTAGACAGTGATTTTTTCCCAGACAAGTCCTTTACCAATTTCCCGACCCCGGATGGCTCGAAGGTCTAGTGAGCCCGTAGCGGGGTCGAACCAGTACAGTGCTCCTGATCTCCGGCATCATTAGCACTGCGCTATCCTCACTGATGTGAAATAGGGTCATATAAATTAATAATGTATGTTTATGTATGATGCAAGTGACGATTTGATTTCTATGTAGAGAAGACGACTGCCCGATGATGTTCGCCTTAGATGAACAGGCAGACGATAACAATTCGACTCTCGGTAACTCCACAGCCATTGACTCAGACTTGGATAAAACAAATATCACTATGTGGGTAAGTTCTATAATAGTGTCAATATCCATAGAAGTTAATTTACTTACTCACTAGCTACTTGGATAGTTGGATGGACCGACTTCACGAGATGTGCGGACTCCAGCAGATTTGCCATTCGTTTCTTTTCCTCCCAGTAGTCGTCCATGGTGGTGGTTTCACTCGAGCATGGTGACGCGTGCGAGTCTCATACCGTCGATAAAAAGCATAAAGCTTCCGGCGTTGATCAATTCTTGAGAGATGCGCCATGCATTCGAGTTCATTAAGTATCGTTGACGGTGAATGAATGCATATCTGGCCTTTAGAATGACTCGCGGTGGCTTACCGATGTATCGAACCAGTGCTGCCATCCTCCCAGACAAGTCCGGTAGCAATTTGCCGACTCCGGAGTGATGGAAGGCTTTGTGGGCCATAGGAGTGGGGATCGATTCCACATGTGTGTTGCAGGGCACCCTCTCATACCGTTACCGAAGTTAATTTATATGAAATAAAAGAGATGCCAATAGAGTGAGGAAAGGAAGGAATCAAATAATGCAAGTGACGCATACTTTGTCGCTATAAACTTATGAAAATCTTTCCGACAGAAGTATTAAAGTACTTCAACATCCTACACAATACCGCGTTTGGCGAGAAGAAGAGCTAAAGGTTCTATAAGAGCCTATTGAGTTCCTTTATCTTAAGTAGTTGTTTACCCAAAGAATATAATAACGAGATTATAGATTAGTAGGTTAAAAAAGATACAATGAAATTAGTGAAAATATTGCAAGCAGACTCTTAACAATAAGATAACACGGAACAAACGAACGAATCAGTCGATAATCGTGAATTGAAAAGTAAGTTCGCGATTCACCACATAATCCTTTGATGTAAAGTGCCAAATCATTATAAAATATGGACCGACTACAAAGCATAAGGCTGAGGCTGCTTCTAAATCGAAGCAATTATGCAAGTTGAAAAAACTACCTATGAATATATCTTTATTGATGGCAGGTGTGGTCTGTTGGTGCAGGTTTCTTCAGAGGTGTTTCTGTTAAGGAAATCCGAAATAAACTCTTTCCAGATTAACATTGAGCATTTCGGCAACGGAAGCTCTCGAAAAATTTTCGCATTGGCTTAGAAGACACGAGCAGTTTCTTCCTAAACACGATCATGCAATCCTTATTACGAAGTTAGTCATCGCTGCGTTCATACTCACGTTTAACTTTATGTACTCACAAAAATTGTGTTCGGTGTGGAAATTCGTGATCTTACCGTATTCGTCAAGGGGTATAACACAAGCCAGTGAATAAGCAAGAAACCTCTTAGTAGTATATGTGTAGGTTTCTTTTTTGTATAAAATCTTTCTTTTGTGGAAAATCCAAGATGGAAATGTCGATCTCCTTCTCACCTTTGATGGCCCTCTGGTCTTTCACAAAGTATAGGCACTATAAGGTGATAAAGACTGAGAAAAAAAAGCATAGATTTATATGCGGATATCTCTAGATACGATCTTCTTTCGCCACGAGGAGACTCGTCCACACAAGGCCTAGCGTACGTTGGTAACATCTGCCAACGAGGTGACTCGTCCAGCGTTGTGGAGGACATTGGCGCCGGGGCAACGGCGATAGTCGCTGCTCACGAACTGGGTCATAGGTAAACAGTGCTGAGTGAAAGGAGACTTAAAACAAGCAGAAGTGGAAAAGTTAGACGTTTAAATCTAAGCACCACGGCCGTTTATCTATTTCAGATTTTAAGCCCACTACAGATTGAGGTGGAACTATTAAATTAGTCATTTCGTTGATCAAATGTTATCGTTGCTTTCTCGACATATTTAACAATAACGAAAGTTTTCCTGTGATAAAGCAAAACACAGATCATAGTAGTTTATCATAGAAAAATAATCCTTTGCTGTACAACGAAGGCTTGAACCCGCTCAGCATGTGAACACAGTTCGTTCAACTCTAAAGGGTGATTGAAAGGTAAACTCCCTCCCCGCCACCAACTTTAACCCTCCTACAATTTAATTTTTATCCCTAGTTTTTACAATAAACAAAGATCAAAGGAGAGCGTATAAGGAGTTTTGTAAAAAATTCTGTAAGAGCACTTTTATTCGCCACCAGTTTCTTAGGCCGCTAGGAAACCATGTCATCTGATTTCACCAAGAACTGTTATTGCATAGAAGACATAATTTCTCGTCTTCTCACCTCAAGTTCTTTTAAGTTGCTCGTTTGTTAGAGTAGCCTTGCTCCTTCAAGCAGCCTCAAAGGAAAAAGTGGCTAGTTGTTGAGACTTGAACAAACCATCTCGAAACTCGCAACCAAGAGCAAACTGGGCATGCTCCTGTAGTGTAAGAGGCCTAGCGATATTTGTCAGGATTCCAGATTTCAAACAGACTTATGGATCTGAAAAAATCAACAACGTAGATTTACTTTCCGTGCCTCGAATATGTGGAAAAATTTGAGAAAGAGGGTACAATTCGTAAGCAATTCACAAGTTACTTCCAAATGCGGAGTTACTTTTCAGTTACTTCGTATGTCTAAACGCTTTTATTACACCTAAAATATTTTCATAATAGTTTTCTAGGCTGGGATTTGACCACCTTCACTGTAGCAAAACTGTGAAGTTCGTTAAAAAAATAGAACTCTATCACAGCCGATGACTGCCCATTCTATAAATGAAGCTAAAAATAACTCCCTTAAATGGTCCGTAGTCATAAGTACTGCGAATTCCACCACCCCCAGCATTTCGTTGCCATTTAAGCGTTATTGAAGAAAATGGTCAGGTTCCAGTGTGCATTCATCTGCAACCTAAGGAGCCTTCGTCTTTTGTTTTAGTTAGCATAATGAATTGTGGTCAAGATTTCTCCATATAATACCAAGGCAATCGTGAAAGATCGTGGCCAGATCTTCAGTGCAAACGGTCTCCATCCCCTGTGGATCCAAGAGAAGTTTGCTGCTTTTCACTTTGATCCTCCCAAGATGATGACTATTGCGGTGATGTAAACGAATTCTGAGGTTAACCGACCTATTACTAAAGGCTAATGAAAGGACCGAAATTCAACAAGTTGAACTAGAAGTAAAATGCCTTTCTGAACAATCATCCTCCTAAAAGTTCAATATTTACCCGGTAAGTTTAATGACCGACGGGTGGTTATTGTGAAGGATTTTAAACTATTTAATGTCGAAGCTTCTACATAGGGCAGGCAGACTGGACCAAAATAGATCTGAAGTATTTAGTTGTTCTGAAAAGCAGGTGCATTCAAGAGAAGTGCTCGGGCGGGGTCTAGGATGTCAGTTTGGCCTAAATTGTCTATAAAAGAACTAGGATGGGACGTGTGAGCTACTTTGCTTGACCTCCAACAACTTAGTGCAATATCTACTCCGGCAGAGGCCAGCAAACTGTGCTTATCTCTAGTTCTCACGCCACAGCCTGTAAACTAACAAAATATGAATGGATTCAACACGAAGGTTTTACTTTTTCGATTGCTACGCTTCACATATCGTCGTTCGAGTAGAAGCTACTGCACAGCTTTGTCACACTACATGAGGACAGAATAATTTATTGAAGCCTACCGAAGACACTTTGTAACTTGTGGGACAACAGTTAACACAGATGATGCGGTGTTCCGACAAGATGAATGCCACAATAGGAAAAATACTTGAATACCTGGACGGTCCATCTTCACGAGTTGTGCGGACCTCAGCGCAATTGCCATTCGTTTCGTTCTCTCGCAATCGTCGTCTAGGTGGTAGTTTTATTCGAGCATGGTGGTGAGTGCGAGTCTCATATGGTGATCTGTAAAATAACCACAGCTGAGAGTGCAGCTGATTAATTTCGGTTACGAACATGTCCGCCCGTGTATGTGACCATCCTAGGCGACTCCTGTATTCACGTGGAGTTCACTCTACAATTCTTTTCGTCCATTTTTCGTCTGCTCTACAATGGCAAAAATTTGCACTTAAAATTTTTAGCACAAAAAAGGAAGCCCAGAAGGAAATAATTTGTTGGAGAAATAACATCGTTGAAATAATCATCTGACACATTCCAGTGATGGATCGATTTCTGATAAACAAAACGTTGAAACGATGATTTACAGAGGAAACGAAGTAGTTAAAAATTTTCCTGCATCAGTGTTTTATAAACTGTATAGAATATGAAGAACTTCTAGCTTGTAAATGATACTTAATGACATTTATCATTATCACGACAAATTTCGTCACTCTATTTTGTTTCCTTGACTGTAATTTAGCCTTGGTGCATTTCACGATGGCAACTCTGAATCCGAAGAATGCTCGTCATCAGAGAACTTCTTAATGGCTGCCACCGTGTCTGGTACGGAAAACTTTGAGTTGTTCGCTCACAGTCGCATGATGAGCCAATGCAGTGTGCGAAGCATCGAAAGCAAACTCAAGTATGTTTTGTAATAAAAATAAACGAATAACTAGTGCCGTTTCTGAGATTCGGGATTTGGCCACACTTTATCCAAAAACGTCGCGCGACCAATAGTGCTGCTAAGGGCTAAGGGAAGCCAAAGGTCACCATGTACTTGCCTGTACCTTAGGTGTTCTTACCACGCAGAAAAACTAGGGTGGTTTGCTCGTTCAAAAATGATTTGTACTTTCCACACAAATGTGCATTTCTTTAAATATGTCTGGGTGTGTGTCCGTGCATGCGAAGTGTATCCACGCATCGTTCTCACCGAAATCTGCAATCAAGCAACTGGGAAGTCCATGAGGAACGTTTTGGGTGGTCCTCAACGAATAGGCCCACATCTACTCTGGGAGAACATAACGAGCTTTTTGGGAGGTATACCGAATACGGTAAAAGAAAACAAGGAAGATATGTGGATATCCTGCCACCAAAATCAGTGATTATAAAAATTATAAAAGGTTACACGAAAGTTTGACGTTATTCGTTCTACTCGAACGAGTGTAGCGCAATAAACAACATTGAGACTCATAGAGGCCAATTGTGGATGCTCGAATCACTTGATAATAAGGAGCTACATCGGTTATATTTTATATTTATTTGCTTGTTTGATGCCTTTGTGAAAACATTTCAGATCACCGCTAACTAGTTGCATCCGCAAAATGCAAACTCTGGACAGAAAAGTAGGGAAAGAAACTTCCGAACGTAACGAAATTTCTCGAACTCCTGGAGAAGTGATCAGTCTTCTGCAGCAATGTCAAATCACGTTTGGACCACACTACGGTATTTGTCCGGTATGAAATCATAGTCTCACTGAAACCTTCAAATTAAGATTTTCATTCTTCGACGCATTGAACAGTTTAGACCTAGATGGTTTCTCTCAACCCTCTATTATGCTTGCCACTGTTGTTGGCCATGAAATATGAGCCTGACGGCTTTGTTCAAAATGCCTTTGATTACTATGAAAAACACTACTATTATGCGCAGTTTCTATATGCGATCGTTGTACCTCTTTGTAATGAGCGAGGCAAATTTAAAGACCATGGACAACGTTTCAAACCTTAGTTACTTTCGCGAACTGTCTTCATAAATCAAGCGAGCCTCAAAAAATCTGTTACTGCAATTCTACAGGTGAAGCGAAGCCACCCGAAGTCACTAACTACTGAGAAGACAGACATTTCTGGCAGTAGTTTATCTTCGCTGGTCTTCTAGGTAGAAATGTGAGATTTTTCCTCTCATTTTGCCAGTTATTTCACGGGATGGAAACATTACACCGCAGTCTCTCCATAAAGAACTATGAATATAAAAGGCTTAATACAGAGGGTCTGATGTCCTCCATTTCTCTTAACATTATCTACAAGGTTCAGCATAGTGCAAATCACAGTAGTCTACTACGGCGCACGAGGATTGGAGGCGTTGGCAATACCACTGAAATGACGAACGGTGTTAAGAATGAAGGAAATGTCATCGAAAGCTACTGTGGCTGTTTTCTAAGCAGCTAAAATTTACTATTCCTTTCACGTAATTGAACTGTCAGGCTGACTGAATCGATACTCGGTTTTAGAGCAAGGAGTACTTCAGTGGTTTTGATCTGTGCCGTAGAGTATGGTGTAAGGACCGCACCAAACGAAGAAACGAACCATGTGAAACAAGAACATACTTTCCAGCTTTAGATGGTACCGAGTGTGGTAGAACGAAGGTATTACCGCTAACTAAATAAAGCGTTATTTTTAGTAGGAAAATAAGAGAAGATTTCATTAAAGCTTTGCAAATAATATGTCAGCGTTAGTAGGAAAGAATGGAAACATAAAAAAAGATATTTGCCAAAATAGCTGTGAATGAGTGCTTCTACGTACTTTTGAGGTGGGCTTATTGTTTACAAGTTGAGACGACGACAAACAGTACACTTGATCAAACCGTTCACTAAGCTGTTGGTAGCTGTGCTTAAGGCAGAAAACAAAAACATTTTGGGTTCAGTACACTCTTTCGCAAAGAAATTTAAGAGAACATAGATGGTTTTGGTATTTATTTCCTTGTTTTTTCTCTCAGTACTTTCTTTGTACAATTTTCTTTATGAACAGAGCAGTTAATGCCCACAAAGCGTGGCAACGAAACGAAAGTATTTGGTTTTCAATGTTTTTTTTGGAATACTAACTTTTTGTTTACCGCCTATTACAATTTTTCACGGCAAGGTATTATGTGTGATACAATCACAATGACAGAGACAGGCGAAACGAAGGACCGTATGGTGTGGTGGTGAACGCGTTACTCCCCGGATAGGACAGTAACGCGCTCTTTCTCCACCGCAGACACCTGCGGTGCGGAGTTTTGCAAATTTCTCAGTACGATTGTCATTGTGTCACTTTTTTCAGTTCATGAGCTTTCTAATTTCAGTGGTGTATGACAGGACAGTGCGTTGAGAATCCTAATAAACTTTCAGGTATCTTTATAACTCCTTTTTATCACTCATAAAGAAGGCGTGCAACTCTTATGCTTTAAATGGTTTTCAGAATGCGTTGATCTGAACGTGAAGATGTGTCGAATGTATTCTAAGGCGAAGTTGCGCCACTATTGTAACGCCAAGGATTTTTCTGAGATTTGTTGTCGTTCCTGTGCTCAACTGAAGGATATCTGAAATATACTATGACTTTAATGTCACCTTGTTCATTCCACTATTTATTGCAAATGTAAACGCACTACATAAGTCATTCCAACCAAGGCTGAAAAACGCGGTTGCAAGAATCTGCCATTACTGCCCCTCTCCAGCATAAATCCTTTTCCCTTCTTCGTTTTCTTACTCATGCGAAAGCTTGACTACATATTGATATTTCATGGCTTTGGAAACATTTATAAATCTTCGATAATTTAAAACCAAGGTGAGAGTTATGGAAAAGCTGGAATGTAAAGTGTAACAAAACTGCTATTCGTTTCGGTTCTTTAAAAATAGTCTCGGAGTTGCAGTTTGCACAAAGAACTTCGTCTTTCAAAAAATCAACGCAAACGCACGCAGTGGGAAATTAACAGAATAGGATCGGAAGGAAAAGCATCAAGTATAATTCACTATTTTTCCTGATGAGCAAGTAAGACGTTGGTATTACAGCATTTATTAATACAGAATAACTGATGTCCCAAAGGTTTCGCCTTCTTGAGACCCTGGAAGGGTCAGACTGATATGCAATCTATTCGGCCAAACCCTTTCATAACCTTAGCAGACAAGATTTAACTCATAAATTTTTATTCACATAATAATTAGATTTTTTCAAACACCCATCGGCCTATTCGTTGGAAGTCCTTTAGTTAATTGGTGAAAAGCCGCCGCATAGAGTGTTACATAGAACGGGAGTGTGCCTGAGTCAGGTCAGTGAATCAACCTGAGGTGTGGCGCGAGCTCACGTGTGATCACAGGACACTACTTCTTGCGGTTCATTTTTGCTTTTTTGGTATTAATCCAGAATTCCTTAAGAGTTTACTTTAAGAGACACCTGACGTTTTCGATTCCTGTGAAGCAATAGTGGCTTTCACTTCAAAATCTTCACCGTTATGTTGTTGTGTCATTTCTGCAATTAGTCGATTAATTGATGAATTATCGATCAATGCCAAGACTAACTGAAAATCGGTCATGTTAATTGCTACATCAAATTTATATTATTTGTAATGAAGTGGCTGCCATTATGTGTCATGAATTGGTGAGTTGCACCAAAGATACTGTCCAGGTGGGCCAACCTAAGCCACACGGAATGTCTGAGACCTGGATTGGACTCGGACCTGGATCATTTCTGAACCGTCAACTGACTGAAGATAAGCATGGCATGTTACCAAAGCGTACATCCGTAATTTTGCGTCTGCTGTTCTAGGAAAACATGTTTCAGGACCTTGTCTTCAAAATTTCGTAAACGTTTTATGACATCTTGTAGTAACTCCCACGTCCGACTTTCTATTAACCTCGGCATTGATTGAACAATTCTTTCTACTTCTGTTCAGCAAACACGAGGTGCTATTTTATTTCTTTATTTACGTACAAGCTGACGTTTTGGCGGATTTTGCCTTCCTCAAAGCCTGGAAAGGTCAAGTTGACAGCAATCTATTCAGTCAAAGACCTCCATAAGCAAACAAAGAAAACATTAAACCAAGATTTCAACGAATCTCTCCGAGAAGATGGCTCACTGAGGAAGACCTGACTCGACACGAAGGCGAAGCTGCAACGTCGAGACGAACAACAAGCATGGACCATCGACTCGGGTCATCGGCTCTGAGGAAGACGAAGACGTCGAAACGTTAGCCGAAAATAAATAAATATCATTATCAACCTCGTGTAAGCTCATCAAAGAAGGATTACATATAAAGGGCAGTATAAAAAGGGCTTTGTTGTCGCTAGGGTTATCGTTGGTGTACCTGTGGTTTCCTCTACACCTATCTCGAGCTACATTTTCGTAACCATTAAAAATGGCTATTTGCCGCACCAAGTTCAGGGACTCCTCTCTCTGCTGTCTTCCTGTGCACACGCTAGTAGCTGTTCGATACATGTTTCTCACAAGCGCCCTTTTCGTGTGGTATGGGTGAGAGGAAAGGTAATAAACCAGGTTGTTTTACTACTTGGCTTTCGATACCACTTCGTAATGTAGCCGTTTTCCGATAGGCTAATTTGCACGTTCAGAAATGGAAGCCAGTTTTTTTTCGATTTCTCTCGGGTGAATTTAATATACTCTGACTGTTCGTTCAACAACTCGAAACATCTGTCAATTTCTTCTTGTGTTGAACAAATGACCAAGAAGTCATCTATATATCCACAGTAGAGTAACGGACCGAGGTTGATTACTGGCGCTTCCACCTTAGACATGAATGCAATGGCAAGGCTTGGTGCTAGCCCTCTCATTTGGGCGTAATACCTCCCAGACCATCTGAAGATTGAGCAGTTTAGGCACTCCTTTAAGAGTGTCAGCAACTGCTGAATCGTGCAGCCATACATGTTTATTGCTCCTTCGTGTTGTATAAGGAGCTCGCTTATGACTTGCATAGCGGAGTCATTCGACACGTTTGTATAAAGAGGGGTATCGTCGAAGGACTCCACCACGTACGCGCTGTTGGGTCGCGCGTTACGTAGACGATCCAGGAACATTTGGGTGTTCGTTAGATGAGCAGGAATGTACTTCAACAACTGAGTAAGTATTAGGGTCATTAACCACGTTATTCTATCCGTTGGCCCGCCCACGCAGCTAATGATAGGTCTAACCTTAAATAACGGTGGATCGGTAGACACGAGATCATCGCGGATACTAACTTATGGGTTTTGATAAGTAAGTACAGGATGGGACATGTTGATAAGTCAATTTTGAGATGATAGATAACTGATGGTTTTAACCCAGTCGCTCTTGCCACTTTAACCCATTCGTTGTTTAACTTTCGGTATCGGTTTTTAAATTCCTTCTCAGACGACGGACGACAAAGGGAAGAATCTTTAAGGTGCTTTTCCGTTATCTCAACATCTAAATGATGGGAAATTACAACGGACTCTCCACCCTTATCACTAACCGATAGTCTTATGTTTTTTGATCTTATCAGCTCTCGTACCTCCCGCATACCACGTTTTTGTATTTCGGTGAGGCTGGAGCAGTATCTCTTGGAGCGATAGTGATTAAGGGCTTTGAAAGTTTCATTCGTGAACATCCGAAATTTCACATCAACTTCATTATTGGGCTCTTGTTGTCTAAAAAACGGTTGAGGAAATGGTGGTATTGGTATTGCCCCTACTTTTTGTTGTTCGCGCCTATTTTGCGCTTCATCCCTAGTTTTTTTTGCGGAGTCTATCTCGAAGTCTATGACACCTTTTATGAAATCAACCTAGCCGAAGCAACAATCTAGTTTTGTTTTCTTTCCTTAAATTTCGTTCCGCACATTGTGTTGCACGTGTCTTTGGAGAGAAGGTTAGTTGTTCGCAATTTTTCTCGTTCATATCCACGAACGCAGCCTTGATCAACTGTGGGTTCGGCTACGATTTGTCTATGCAGCTGGCTTAGGAACACACCGAAAACGTCGGGCTGTGTGATGCAACTTTCATCTCAGAACTGGTCCGCTTGTAAGATTCGTAAACATTAGAAATAGGGTTAGTGAATTCTTTGGTGGTTATGAAGAACCAATTAGTTAGTAGAGTACGTGTTCCTGGGTCCGCTAAACGACGAAAATAACACGGTGTTTTCACAATCTGCTTCCAAAGTAGTGAAACCATATCTGAAAAAGGCTTCCCTACCTGTTGTTTTCCAGGACCATATTTTTTTTACGAATGTCAACGCAATATGTGACTGCGAAAGCGTTTTACAGGATTTATGATCAGAAGCTATTTTATAGTAGTCCTTCCAAAAATTTACCGCCTCATCGTGGCTGAGAGGTGTTCCTAGGTATCGGGCTGCGATGTACAGCGGGAGAATTATTCTCTTAGCAGGGTTTCCCGAGCTTAGAAGGAGCTCGGCGTTTCCATCACGACGGCCAGCTAAGAGTAAACCAATACCAGGATCCACCAGCTTACTGGTGCTAAACTAGTCGCATGGTAGCAAATCTCTCTCTGATTCACAAGAGTGGCGCCTGCCTGTTATGGTGACGGCCTGGGGCAGACTTTGGTCAGGCAGACATCGGGACCCCAGGGAAACACAATGGCTAGAACTCAAAACTCCGAAAAATGAAAGTGGTGGTGGGCCCACACAACAAGTGAGCACAGGCCGCCCAAGTATACAGTATTCTACAGAAATGTTTGTCTCTAATGAGCTCGTGTGGCGCAGTGGTCGGAGGCGCCCACCAACGAGCGTGGAATCGATCTTCGTGCTCATGCCCCACCAAGCCTTCCATCCCTTCGAGGTAGGCAAATTGATACCAGACATGTCTGGGAGGGTACCAGCACTGGCTAGATAGATCAGTAGGCGACCGCGAGTCATTGTAAAGACCAGATATGCATCAAATCACCTCCAGACGATGCCTAATGATGTCGAATGCATGGCGCATCCTTTAGGGATTGCTCAACAAGGAGAGTTTTATCCTTTATTTTTTTATTTGTTTCTGGGTTATTTTTTATCTCGTTGCTGTTTTTTCACGTTATTCGAGTTATCGCAGTACTGTCAAATATTAAGCAGTTGACGTACATCTTGCTTACCAGTGAATGATACTTACTTGGATACTTGGACGGTTCGTCTTCACGTGCTATGCGGACCCCGGCACAATTGCCATTTGTTTCCTTCTCTCGCAGTCGTAGTCCATGGTCGTGGTCTTGTTCGAGCATGGTTGCGCTTGCGAGTCACATACGGTGATCTGTAAAACAACTGCAGCTGCGGGTACAGCTAATTAATTTTGTTTACGAAGACGTCCTCCCAACGTGTAGGTGGTCGTCCAAGGGGTCGTTTGCATTATACCGTAGAATCGAAGAGATGAGCGCGTATTTTCGAGCCCTTCAGTTGGTCGGTGGCTTTGAGAGGTCCGAATGCTGTCCAAGCTGCTCTCCTTCTTCTGTCTAGTTCCTCCTTCATGTTGTTTTCCATGTTCATTGGTCGCCCAAGGTATACGAACGAAGCGGACTCTGCAATGAGAGAGAGAGCAATCTAATTCAATTTTTTCGCTTTCGCACCATGGGTTTTTCATGAACTGGGTTTTTTT